CACCCCGCATTGGCTGCTGCCTCTGCAAGCTTGGGCACACTGCCCAAGACCTGGGCACCCCGCTGTCCTTGTCCCGACACAGGCATCGTGTCAGTGGCTATGAACACGTTAGAGCACTCGCGGCCTGCCTCAGTGCCTGCGTACACATCTGTAAAAGCTTCAAATCCAGGGCGCCTGCCCTCCCGGGTCGGTGCACACTGTGGAAGTGGGCGCCTGCGCAGTGACCGCCGTGTCCATCATCTTGCTGAAACACACGGTTCTCTCCCCTTTTTACTGTGTGAAGTTAACACTGAAACAGCGATCCTCAGAATGTGCTGGGGGGAACGTGGCCTGGAACGTCGGCCTCCTGTTTCCTGCCGACGGTGGCTCCTGGGCGCTGCCCCAGGGGAGCGTGCCGCCAGCCCACGCCCTCAGCAACCCTCTGGCCCCACAGGCATCGAGCCTCCCCGGGAGTCCTTCAATCGCTGGATGCTGGAGCGCAAGGTGGTGGACAAAGGGTCTGATCCTCTGTTGCCAAGCAACTGTGAGCCGGTTGTGTCGCCTTCCATGTTCCGGGAAATCATGAACGACATTCCCATCAGGTACAGCCCCAGTGCTGGGCCCGCCCTCCGAACTGGCGGGAGTGGCGGGGCTCCTCACCGTGTGCTCTCTCCTAGGTTATCCCGAATCAAGTTCCGGGAGGAAGCCAAGCGCCTGCTCTTTAAATACGCGGAGGCTGCCCGGCGGCTCATCGAGTCCAGGTTTGGCTCTCCGGTACCCCACGGTCATAGGCCATCTGCCCCCACACTCCCACAGGGCGCTGTCATTGGTTCTGGCGGCAGAAGTGGGCCGGCTCCCAAAGGCAGACCAAGGGCTGCAGTGGCCAAGAAGCCGATGGAGTGGGATGGGGAGTGGTGGGGGTGCAGCGGCCCTGGCACCCAGCTAAGCCGGCTCTCCCGACTGGCAGGAGTACGTCCCCCGACAGCAGGAAGGTGGTCAAGTGGAACGTAGAAGACACCTTCAGCTGGCTTCGGAAAGACCACTCGGCCTCCAAGGAGGACTACATGGTGAGCGGGCCCTTCCTCCAGGAAGCCTATTCTGCCTGTCCAGGCCGGGCGGGGCTCCCACAGCGGCCAGCTCTTGTGCAACTTGGCAGGCCTTGACATTCGTCTGTCCCCAAACTCATGACCATGGAGATGTTTTTCTGGGCTCCTGGCACTCTCCCAAAGAACATTTCCGTTAACATTCTTAACGGGAATCCTGTGCTTGGCCACACATCACAAGTAGCTGCCTTTTCGCCTTCGTGAACGGTCCCCGTCCCCCCGAGTAGATGTCTGGAAACAGGTCGACAGGCTGCTTTGCTTGGGTGTGTGTGTTCTCTTGTAGTTAAGATGTGCTCGTTGTTTCCGAAACAGTTCTGTTTTCTGGCCAAAGCCGGCTCCACCCTATCCGCCAGCACTAGCAATGGGCTTTCTTTTCAGGAGCATTTTTCACAAGAGACAAGGTTTCGCACTTCACGATAGTAACTGTGTACTTGACACGTAGAGAGTGACAAAGGTAGGTGTGCTCACTAGCCAGAGTGACCCATTTCCACTCTTCAGTTCACACGTGTGATTCAGCAGAATGACAAATGCCGACAGCCATCCTTACAAGTAGCTAAGAGCTCAACCTAGATCCACCTCCACCAAGCACCCTGTTCTGTAACTGTGCCCACTAGACTGCAGACAGCACGAGCCGGGACCAGGCCTGGTTTCTTCCCCCAGTAGCACCCGACCAACTGCTGGCATGTATCGCACACTGACTATGCCAGGGGCTTGGGCAGCCCCCCGGGGAGTGACCACACCTCAGTCAGCCTGCCCTGTGAGGTGTCCTGTGTTCCCTGGACAGTGGAGTGAGAGTCAGACGCCCAGGGATCTATCCAAAGGACACAGCTAGCCGAGTAGCGGCCAGCTTCTAAACGAGGCCTGCTGGAATCCGACTGCCCCGCGAGGCCCTGGGGCCTTGCCAGCACCCTGATCGCGAGCGTCCCCTCCAGGACCGCCTGGAGCACCTGCGGAGGCAGTGCGGCCCCCACGTCTCGGCCGCGGCCAAGGACTCCGTGGAGGGCATCTGCAGTAAGGTCTACCACATCTCCCTGGAGTACGTCAAACGGATCCGAGAGAAGCACCTCGCCATCCTCAAGGAAAACAACATCCCAGGTGGGTGCCCACCTCTGCGGCCCAGGCCCTGACGGGGGGAACAGTAAGGCTGAGCCTCAAGGTCAGGGGCTGGTTGAGGGGAGCCCATTTCTCCCAGCAGTGTTTGCGGCAGAACCTGTGTGTCCTTTGGGTAGGGGGTGTCAGCCTTGCTCTGAGCACTGGAGAGGTGATGCGCAGGGGGGAGTTGGAAGTTAGCAGAGGAAGACGGGGCCTTCCAGGAGTGGGACTCCCTCCCTTGGTGTAAGGCGTCCAGCACGCAGTAGGCAGGGAGGCTGCTGGGCTGCGAATCCAGTCCTCAGTGCGCTCCCTGCCCACAGAGGAGGCGGAGGCCTCTGAGCTGGAGCCCCGCCTGGTGTACTGCTACCCAGTCCGGCTGGCCGTGTCTGCGCCCCCCATGCCCAGCGTGGAGATGCACGTGGAGAATAACGTGGTCTGCATCCGGTACAAGGGAGAGATGGTCAAGGTCAGCCGCAACTACTTCAGCAAGCTGGTAAGAGCAGGGCCCTCGGACGGCACCCGGTGTGCCCAGCAGGAGGCCCAGGACTGAAGCCCACTGCTCTCCGTCCCACAGTGGCTCCTCTATCGCTACAGCTGCATTGATGACTCTGCCTTTGAGAGGTTCCTCCCCCGGGTCTGGTGTCTTCTCCGGCGGTATCAGGTACAGGCCGGCCGGCAGAGGCGGGAGGCCTACCTTGGAGGGGGCAGGGCGGCTGGGTGCAGCTGCTGACCATGGCTACTCTGCAGATGATGTTTGGCGTGGGCCTCTACGAGGGGACTGGCCTGCAGGGGTCGCTGCCTGTGCACGTCTTCGAGGCCCTCCACCGACTCTTTGGCGTAAGCTTCGAGTGCTTTGCCTCACCACTCAACTGCTACTTCCGCCAGTACTGCTCTGCCTTCCCCGACACAGATGGCTACTTTGGCTCCCGCGGGTGAGAGCAAGGGGCTGCTGGGCCCCCTTCCGCCCAGCCAGACAAAGCTGCTTCCCAGTGCTGCAGGGCTCGAGCCAGCCGTCCTGGAGGCTGTCCCTGCCTCCAGCAGACCAGCTCTGCGACCGTGGGCAGGTGCCAACCTCTGGGAGCCTCAGCTTCTCTGGCCCCGTGGGCAGGCACCTGTACCCTGTAACCTGGCCTGTGGGTGTCTCAGTGATGTCCCAGGTTTGGAACCCCTGGCTCCAGGCACTGAGAGCGGTGAGAAGCAGGGCACAGAATTCAGGGAGCTTTCAGACTCGTGGGGGCCAGAGCTCACGGCTGGGAAGTTGCTGCGTGTGGCTCATGCTGGGGGGTGTGGGGCAGGGGGCCCAGGATGGGACTTGAGCTCCAGCTAGGTGGCCATGGGCACCCAAGCCTGTGGCCTGAGCAGCACCACCTCTACCGTGTGGGGACCTGGCTGGGGGTGGGGGAGCAGCACTCGGTTTCGGTTGTGGAACTGGGCGCTGATGGGACCGTGGATGCTCACCTCTCTCCCCAGGCCCTGCCTGGACTTCGCCCCGCTGAGCGGTTCCTTTGAGGCCAACCCTCCATTCTGCGAGGAGCTCATGGACGCCATGGTTTCTCACTTTGAGGTGAGGGCGCTGCTGCTGCCAGGGAGCAGGCGGGCGGGCGCCACTGCCAGCCGCCTGGGGGGCAGCGCCTGACGCCCGCCCTGGGCCCCTCCCACAGAAACTGCTGGAAAGCTCGCCGGAGCCCCTGTCCTTCATCGTGTTCATCCCCGAGTGGCGGGAGCCCCCCACGCCAGCGCTCACCCGCATGGAGCAGAGCCGCTTCCGACGCCACCAGCTGGTCCTGCCCGCCTTTGAGCACGAGTACCGTAGCGGCTCCCAGCACATCTGCAAGAAGTGGGTGCCCAGGGAGGGCAGGGCGAGGCGGGCTTGGCCAGGCCAAGCGCCGCCCTGAGCAGCTCTTCTGTCCACAGGGAGGAGATGCACTACAAGGCTGTCCACAACACGGCCGTGCTCTTCCTGCAAAACGACCCTGGCTTTGCCAAGTGGGGGCCGACGCCCGAGCGGCTGCAGGAGCTGAGCGCCGCCTACCGGCAGTCGGGCCGCAGCCACGGCTCCAGCTCCTCCTCCTCCTCCTCAGAGGCCAAGGACCGGGACTCAGGCCGCGAGCAGGGCCCTAGCCGTGAGCCTCACCCCACTTAGCACATCCTGCGGGGAGGAGGAGCTAGGGCTGCTGTTTGGACTGCAGGGAATGGGACCTGTGCGGGTGGAGCAGACCCAGGGCCTCCCCCCACCACCGGGTGGCAGCAGGACCCAGGCTGCAGCGACATAGGAAGATGATGGCTCTGCCCTGGCTCCCCTCCCTGCCCCACCTCCCAGCTCCCACCCTGAACTCCAGAGTCCCCTGTAAATAGGCCCGATGCCTCCCCTCCCCTTCCTGCCCCCCCCCACCGTTGCATTTGTAAAAGAAAATACAGAGACCTCCTCCCAAGAATGTGTGAGGGTCTCGGGAGGAAAGGTCTACCTCAGGGACCACACCCTCTCCGGCCAGGTTCCCCTTCTAGGGCCCCTGGTCTCACACCCGGTCCAGGGCCCCACACGGCTGGCTCCCTGGGGCCCAGCCTGAGCACAGCAGGCGGGAAGGACCTGGGGGCCTGCCCTGCAGAATTCCAGGCTCCCACAGCCGCGCCTGCCCGCGGACCTCTGGGGAGCAGAGGACGCCTCCTGCTGGCCCTGGCTTCCCGGCGGAGGCGCAGTGGTGCAGGGTGCTCGGCGAGGCATCTGCGCCCTCCGGCCCTGCGGCTGGGCAGCCTGCACCTTATGACCCCACTGGAGTGGCCTTTGCTTGGGCAGGCTGTAGCAATAAGAGGACACAGCAAGCTGGCCAGGCCTGGACTCTGGTCCCTTTATTGAGACTGAGGGCCCAGTAGGTCCATGCAAACAAAAATAAATTTCTCTCCTAAAGCCTGCCCGCAGGCTAGGGCCCCCAGCGTGTCCTGGTGAGGCCCATGGCTGCCCCCAACCCCAGCAGCACACGTCTGGCTCCCTTGGAGTGAGTGGATGCTGCTGCCCAGGATCTGGGGACCCCGAGGGGAAAGAGAGGTACACCCAGGCGGGTCCTCCCGCCCCCAGAAGGGCTGGCCCTGACTCCATGGTCTGCGCGGGCCCGTGGGGCTCATTCGTCCGTCAGGGTGATGACATCGTACTCAATGCCCTGGTGCTGCAGCTGTTGAATGTGCTCAGGCACTGTCTCCTCTGTGCCATACAGGCCCTGGGCTTGAGCCATGGCAGCGTCGGCCACCGCTGCCGGGGGAGGGGGGAGAGGGGAAAGCAGGGTGAGCCTGAGGCCCTGGGAGCTAGGCCTGGGGCCCAGCCCCCACAGCCCTCAGAGTCCAGCTCCCTACCTGTGACAGCCGAGTGTGCGGCAGCCTCAAGTTGTGCCTGTGTGACAAGCTGCTGGCCTGGGGACACAGGCACATACTGGATCTAGAGGGGAGAAGCTGGTGAGAGCCGGCCCTGCAGGGCCACGCCCTTGCCCGGCTCTGCCTGAACCCAGGGCCTACCTGGGGCTCTTGAAGGAATGGGGTCCCTTGTTCATACTGGATGTGCGTGATCTGACCCTCCTGCACCTGCAGAGGGAGCCAGCCGGTGACCCCAGGGAGGAGGCTGCGTAGCCGCCCCAGGCTCGCCCCGTGACCCAGGCCTGGCCCACCTGGATATGATGGCCTTCAGGCACCACGACGTATTCCTGAGGGAGCAAGTGCTGGACCCCATCCTGGGAGATGATGTACTGCACCTGAGGGGGAGGCAGGTGCTAGGGCCTTGCTCACTAGGAGTGCGGCTGGGAAGGCTCAGGGCTACCCAGCAAGCCTGGACCCGGGGAGGGGCGGTTTGGGAAGAACTGTTCCTTCCCAGGCCCATGGGCGGCTTACCTGGTTGTCGGAGGTCACCAGATGCTGCACCGTCTGGCCGTCAGCCGTGGTGATCTCCTGGATGTACGTTGCTTCCTCCTGCCGGGGCCAAGCCAGCTCTAGCCTCGGCGCTCTCCACCACCAGCCCTGCCCGTGACTTGCCAGCGGGGCCTCCAGTCCTGGCTCTTACCTGATTGGTCACCGTCTGTTCTTGGGCCACGATGATGTGTTCCTGGCCTAGTGCCTGCTGTAGCCGCTCTGGGCCCAGGACTCCGTGACCCGACTGCAGGGCCGCTGGACAGAGAGGGGAGGATGCTCGCTGAAGGCCCTAAGCCTAGAAGAGGCTTCTGGGACAGTGGCTCAAGTCTGGACCCACGCTGTGCCCCCCCCATCCCAGGGCAGCTCACTGCAGTGTGGCCAGTGCCACGCTGTGCCCCCCCCATCCCAGGGCAGCTCACTGCAGTGTGGCCAGTGCCACGCTGTGCCCCCCATGCCCTCCCTGTCCCAGTGCCACGCTGTGCCCCCCCCCACACTCTCCCTGTCCCAGGGCAGCTCACTGCAGTATGGCCAGTGCCACGCTGTGCCCCCCATGCCCTCCCTGTCCCAGTGCCATGCTGTGCCCCCCCATGCTCTCCCTGTCCCAGGGCAGCTCACTGTGCAGTGTGGCCAGTGTCTCCTCGTCACTGTTTAGGATGATGGTCTGTGTTGGGGTCCGCGTGGGGGTCCTGGCTGTTGGGGTCCCTGATTTCCTCCCATCAGGACTGTGCAGCCGCTGGATGTGAAACTTAAGGTGCCCATTACGGTTGAAGCTGACAGGGAGAAGGCAGGAAGCTCCAGCGGCTGCAGCAGGTGCGCCCGGCAGCCCCCTGCCGGCGTCCCCGCCTCACCGCTGTCCACACAGGTGGCAGGCGAAAGGCTTCTCGTTGGTGTGGGTGAGCACGTGCCGCCGCAGGTCCTTCTTGTTCTTGGAGGCGAAGCTGCACTGGCTGCACTGGTGGGGCCGCAGGCTGGAGTGCTGCGCCATGTGGGCCTGCGGGAGGGCGGAGTTGGGCAGGTGCAGTGCGTCCCCGGCCCCCACAGGGAGCTGGTGACAGTGCCTGGAAGCAAGCAAGGGGCTGGGCACGCACACACAGCACATCAAGGACAAGAACGCAGCGGGCCAGAGGCTGGCTCCCCACGGTCCCCCGGAAAACGCGGGCCTGGCTCGTCTGTTCAGCCAGAGGAGTGCAGGTGCTGAAGGAGGAACAGTGGTCTGACACTGGGCTTGGTCCTGCCTCGCTGGCCTGCTCCCCATCTGGAGGGCTGGCTCGAGGCCGGGCCCTCACTGAGCTCTGAGGACAAGGTGCACTAGGAGCCCACCTCCCTGCCCTGCACCCCTGTGCCCTCAGTGACCGGCAGTGCCAGTCCCTGACCGGCCGCCTGCCGTCACGCCTCAGTGCCCGAGTCCAGTGACCTGTGCTAGGCTCTGCGCCCGCACGCCTGCATCACACTGGAGACCCTGGCGTCAACGTCTTGTCTCCTGACCAGGGTGAGCTCTCCCAGGACTGGCTGAGTGGCGTCTGGCCCTGGTGGGCGGAGCTGCCTGATAGGTGGCCCAGTGAGTGACGGGGGAGGGGGGTGCTGCACCTACCCGGACCTCGGGCCACTGGCGAGCACTGAAGGGGCAGTCCGGACACTTGAAGGCACTGGGCCCGGCGTGGGCCCGTTTGTGACTCTCCATCTCAGCCCGGCCCGGGAAGGCCTCAGCACAGATCTTGCAGGAAAACTTCTTTGACGCCGTGGCGGCTGCAGACGGGGGCGAGGGGGGCACCGCCAGGCCCAGGGCTTTACTGGCTGCAGGAGGAGGGGAGGCAGAGCTCTCACAGTCCCCCGCCTGGTGGGTCTTGGCCGGAGAAGGGGGCTCAGGGCCGTCTCTGGGAAGACCCCCACACTGTAGCAGGGGCCACTTGGCTCCAGAGGCCAGGGCATCCGGACTTGGGAAGGAGATGGAGCCATCTGCAGTCAGCTGTGGAGAGACCAGAGGGCATGAGGGGCTGGGGAGGCAGGGAAGAGCAAGGACTTGGCCAGGGCTCAGCACCCCAAGCCCCACCTCGATGTGGTGCAGCTGGGTGCCGTCGGCGGCCATGATGTAGTGGGTGCTGGCTTCTTTCAGGGTGTCGCTCACAACCACAGCCTGGGCTGCCTCCCCTGCAGGCTCCTCGCTGTGGGCAGAGAAGGGGAGGGGTAAGGCCAGGTCCTAGGAGGCTGGAGACCCCAGAGGGAGCCAAGTCGGAGGGCCTGGCCTTGCCCTGTCCCAGACTGACCCTCTGCCATCTTGTGTGATGGCGTATCAGGCGCCCAGCATAACCCCTGCTTAAAAGGTAGTGACCCCTGTCCCCTTGCTGGGCATGGCCAGCCAGGCAAAGGGCCCCAGGGGGTCTGAACGAGGTGTGGCCAAGTGCAGCATGAGCACAGGGCAGGGCCAGGCCAAGAGGGTGCGAGGAGGGTGACTGCCACCATGAGGCTGGCCCCATGGAGGACCCCGCTAATGAAGGACACAGGGCTGACAGGCTCCCCTAGCCCGAGAGCAGATGGCAGACGCTGACGGGCCCGTTCGGGTGCTGGTCCAGGGATCCTGATCCCATCCCAGCTGAAGTGTGGCACAGGGACTCAGGGCTCCCTCACGTGGCCCAAGGGTTCAGTGAACTCCCAGAACTTCTGCCCCAGGCCACCCACTGCAGGGAAGCCGAGGGCAGCCACTGAAAGTCCGAGATGGGAGGCGCCTGGATCCCCAAGGCAAAGAGCATGTAGGCTCGGGAACCAAAGAGACCAGGGTTCAGATGCCCTTGGCTCCTACGTGTCTCATCTCTGGCCAGTCACTTAACCTCCTGGGCCTGGCTTGTAAAACGGGAAACGTGGGTCTCACGGAGTGCGTTAGGTAAATCACAGTGCCGAGTGCTGGAGCCGCCAGGCATCAGGAAATGGTGGTGCCTGATTCCGCAGGACAAACAGCCCCGCTCCACCTCGGCTTGGGGGGGGGCCTGCATCTGACTGCCCCAGCACGCCTAAAAAAGGCTGCGAGGGGGCAGGTCTCACCTGTAGGGTGTACCAGGAGCTGATGTCCCCTCCTCCATAGGGGGAGCTGTGATGACACTGTAGCCAGCCCCACCAAAGGGACCGGAGGCCAGGGTGATCTGCTGCAGGTCAGGGGAGCCCAGCTGGCTCTCAGCTGCCACGCCAGTCCCCCGCTCTGCCACGTGGAGGGTGACCACCTGTGGAGCGGTGCCTTCGGGGGAGGGCTCCCCACCAGGGGATGCCAGCCCTGCTCCCACATCCTCCGATTTCACCACGGCCACCTGCAATGGCACCACAGGGCACGATGGGCAGGACCCGAGACAAAGGAGCTGATGTTCCAGACCCTTCTCTGGTCCTCGGGGCGCAGCCATATTCCGGTGAGGCCCCGGGCCCCTGCTCCTCGTTTATAACCACACCAGGACACGTGGAGAGCATGCAACGCCCCTCTCCCAGGCTGGCACAAGATGCGTGAGTGACGACACCCGATGTGGGTGAGGGTGCAAACTGGCACCCCTCCCACCAGGGCCCACGCCTCTGGCCCACCTATTCTACTTCCAGGAGGCTTCAGAAAAGCAGTTGAAAATACGGAAATATGAATCGCTGCCTAAACCAACGAAAGACTGCAAACGCAGGCCGGCGCCGCGGTGTAGCAGGCTGAGCTGCCGCCTGCGATGCCGGCGCCCCGCAGGTGCTGAGTCAAGTCCCGGCTGCTCCACTTCCCCTCTGGGTCCCTGCTAATGCACCTGGCAAAGCAGACGATGGCTCAAGCACCGGGACCCCTGCCACCCACACAGAGCCCTGGATGGAGCTCCAGGCTCCAGACTTCAGCCTGACCCAGCCCTGGCCTTTGTGGCCATTTGGGGAGAGAACCAGCAGATGGAAGATCTCTGTCTATCTCTGTAACTCTTTCAAAATAAATAAATCCTTAAAAAAATAGGATGCTGATCTCTTAGGAACGAAACAAGGATGGCTACCTTTTTGTAGACACCCAAGGTAAACTCTTCATGGAGTAAGGACTCAAGTGTGAAAAATGGATCCGGAGGGAAAAACCACAAATGAACGTCTCCACAGTCTTGGGGTAAAGGCTGGGGGGGGGACCTCTCCAGGAAGGGGGGCACCAAAGGCCAAGGCTAACAGACGGACGTGAGCATTCCCTCCTGCGTGGAGTGGGTTCTGCCCCACCCTGGCTGCAGGGTCCGGGGATTTCTGCCCTTACGCATCCTACCCTCTCCACCTTCTCAGGCGGCTGGGCCAGGGGAGGCACTAAGGGACTTCCCCCGCCTCGGAGAAGGACTGGCTGAGCAGGGGCAGGGAGGGCGGTGCGGTGGCGACCGCAGGCAGCTGGGCGGGCCGGGGGGAGAGACGAGCTCGAGGAGGCACGCTGGCCGGACGGGACACGACCACGAGCGGGCTGAGCTAGACAGGGCCCTGCGAGTCTGAGGCTGCACAAGGACCCGGCGAGATGGGAGGCCAGCGCAGGCGCTGGGGAGCACCCACGGGTGGGGTGGCCACAGCGGAAGAACAGCACACGCTGCTGTGGCAGCCAGCACCGGGCCTTGGGAGCTCCTGACCTCCGGGGGCTCCCGGGGCTGCCCATGGGTTTCAGTGGTCTGTCCTGCCCCCCCCGCAGTGCTCCCGGCGGCTCACCTGCAGGGCCGCGCCCCCCAGCTCCCGCTGAGCGCTCATGTTCAGCAGCAGATCCAAGGCTGTCTGCGTGGCCATCGCAGTGGACTCCTCGGCTCCTGCGCGGGGAGGGGCCCACGTCTGAGACAGGGCACCCCGTCCTCCAGACCCCCAGGGGCACCCCCAGCCGGTGCGGCTCCTAGGGCTCTCAGCACCCCCAGAGCTCACCTTGCTGGTAGATGATGGTGGCGCCACCCAGGGTGTCGGAGCAGAGCAGGGGTGGGGTCTCCGGGGACTGCAGAGGTGCTGCCTCTGGAGCGATCTGTGGGGCGGGGGGCACGGCCAAGCCTGAGAAGGGGCGGCCCAGACTCCAGCCCACTTCTCAAGCCCCTCCCACCTCCCACGGGTCAGGCATCCCCCACGGGTCGGCTTGTCTAAAATCACCTTGCGAGGTATTTACCAGCGCCACGCTCCGGACAGACCAGCCGAGGCTGGGAGGGTGACGTGACTCTCATCAGAAGCAGGGCAAGGACCCGAACCCGGGGCGCTCTGCCAGCTCCCCGTGGGGGCCACCCTTCTGGGGCTGCGAGCAGCTGGCCCTGGACCCAGCCTCCCCTCCTCCTTGGTAACAGAACTCCGAGGTTCACGGGGGAGGGCCACGTATCCAGCTCCAAGACCACGCTTCTCCCCTCCCTCGCAGCTCAGCCAAGAGTGGCCAGGTAGCTAAGCAGGGAACTTCTGGTACAGTTCGTGAGGACAGCAGGCATCCTCTCCACCCTTTCCTCCTTCTTCTTGCTTGGGATGTGGCTAGAATGGCTGGTGCCCCTGCAACGCACCTGCACTGTGAAGCTATTACAAAGGGGGAGGTCATATGCCTAGACTGACAGAGCCTGGTCCCTGATGGCTCTCAGGGGCCGTGCCAGCCCCGTGGCTGCCTGTGGGATCCTCTGTGCGCGAGAATAAGCCATCTACTTCCATTCCTCCTACTGGCCCAGGAAGCCACGCGAGGCTAAGCTCAGGGCAGCAGCGCGTGGGACCCAGCCCCCTCTAGCCAGTCCAGGGAAGTGGGAATCGCTTTGCTGTCACCCACGGGAGGCCGCTGCAGCCCGGCGTGGCGGCGCCCTGCTCTGGGAGCCTACCTCGGCAGGTCCCGGGGGGCTGGGGGGCGGCGCGGGGGCTGCACGGTGCTGCTGCTTCAGCTCCTCAATCTGCTGCAGAGAGAAGAAGGGGCGCCGGCGGGACGGGGGCTCCTCGGGGTGGCGCCGCCCCCACTCCTCGAAGCTGCTCGCGTGCCGGCACCGCACGTGGAGACGCAGGTTCTTCTTGTGCCGCGTGCTGAAGTGGCAGTACTCACAGGCGAAGGGCTTGGCCCCTGCTGGCACAGGTCCGGGCTGCTGTGTCCACCCCTCCTCCCAGCCCTCCTCTTCCAGGAAGTCTGCCCTGACTGCAGAGGCCTCGCCAGCTGACTCTCCCAGCAGTCCCTCTGTCCATCCCGGTGGGCAGGACAGAGCGGATCAGAGCCGCCCTCCACACCACACGCGCCTTCTCCCTGCAGGCTCCTGTCTTCCAGCCCCATGACCGCACCGCCCTCAGTCGCCTCCCCCGGGTGGACAGGAATCTGGCAATAGGAGGCCCCGCTCCCCTTCCCCGGCTCAAATCAGCTTCGCCTGTCCATCTCTGTGGGCCACGCACGTGCCGCCGCCGCCGCTCCCCTGGCAGCGTGCCCGGGCTCTGGCCCAGCGCCCAGGGCTCACAGGACCCAGGGCACCAACAGAACTCACTTTCCCGACAACTGCCCGGCAGGCACTTCTGACTCTCCATTTCACAAGTGAGCAAGGCCCAGAGAGGGCAAGCAACTGGGCCAGGGCTGTCCAGACAGCAGCCAGGGGAGCTCAGCGGAGAGCGAGCACGACCCAGGAACTAACTCACTCCCCGAACACGGTGGGAGCCGGCTGTTCCCACGGACGGACGAGGACGAGAGCCGAGCCTCTGACCACGGGCACAGGGGACACCAGGCTGACCTGTGTGCTTGACCGCCACGTGGGACAGCAGGAAGTCCTCGCGGAAGGTGCGGTAGGGACAGAAGCTGCACTTGAAGGGCTTGTCGCTGACGTGTGACAGCTGGTGGTTCAGCAGCGCCTTCTTGTCCTCGCAGACGAACTCGCAGAACTCGCACTTGAACCTGCGGGCGGGAGCCGGCGGGAAGGTGAGCGACGCGCTGGGGCCCTCCCAGCCCTGGGCCGCCGGGGGAAGTACCTGCGGTTGGCGACCGCCTGGATGTGCGTGAGCAGGTGCATCTTGAAGGTGTAGCGCTTCTTAAAGGACTTGCCACACTGTGAGGGGCGGGGGGAGTCAGACGCAGGGTGCCGGCGCCCTCCCCTCCGCCCCCGGCTCGCCCGCCCGCGCCCACCTTGTCGCACATGTGGGGCTTCTCCGTGCTGTGTGTCTTCAGGTGCTGCGTGAGTCTCTTCTGCATGGGGTACACCCGGCCACACACGGGGCAGGGGAAGGAGCTCAGCTTCGGGGTCTGAGGACACCAGGAAGGGGCGCGGTGGAGAGAGGGAGAGGAGGGAGGGGTGAGACCTCTTTCCCTCCTCCCCCGTCAGCCCCCAGGCAGGCTCCCCTCCCAGCCCACCGCCCTAGACTCACCGGATCCGGCCTCTTCTTCCTGGGGAAGAAAGGCCTAGGAGTTAGACCACAGCTCCCCCAGGCACACCCCAGAACCCCCGCTCCCTGTGCCAGCCTGAGGACACTGCTCCTGCCGAAGCCCTCCCCCCGGGTTCCCTGGGAGGGGCCGGGCGCAGGGACACTTCCTGTCCCCATCAGGAAGCCCACTTGCACGTTAAAGACCCGGGGCAGGATCGCGGCAGCACAGGTGTGTGCCTGTGTACGTGTGTGTGTGCATGTGTGTGTGTGTGTGTACTTGGGTGACTGAGAATATCTGGTCACAGACCTCCTCTTTCACTGTTTTTAAAAGCGGGAAGCCCTGCGAGCACCCAGGAGAGCCGGCTTCCGCAGAGACAGTCAGGCTGGGTCCCGGGCCCAGCGCCTCTGCGCTGGGTGTGGCTCACACGTTGTGAGCCGGCTGGAGGCCACGCCCTCACTCAGCGGGCAGCCTGCACCCCAGGCCTCCCAGGGGGCGAGAGCGGGGAGGAATCCCCTCCAGCCCTCAACAGCTGTCCTCACTTTGCAGATGAGGCTGAAGCTCACAGCAGGGAAGGCTGCACTGGGGAGCCCAGGGGAGCTCAGGGGGAACACTGGGGAGCTCGGGGCCTACGGGTCACCCTGTTCTCAGCCACAGCACCCAGGATGAGTGGCTGTGCCTTTCTCATCACACGTGCATCGGGCCACAAACCAGGCTGGCTCAGCAGGCACTCGGGAAGTGGGACCATGGTTAGCCTGGGCCTCCCCTCTCCCACCACCTGGTAGCCCCACCCCCACGCCCACGCACCGGTCCCGGCTGTGCACGGCCGCGTGCCGGATGACGTCCTTCCGGTAGACACTGGTGTAGCTGCACTCGTCACACTTGTAGGGTTTGCTGCCCACGTGGTTGAACATGTGCTCCTGGGAGAGGCAGGGAGATGGGGCTGGGGCCCGGCCTCCCTGGCTGTGCCCACAGCCTGGTGGTGGCCACGGGATCAGGCTCCCGGAGTGAGGGGAGGCAAACAGACGCTGTGACAAGGGGCAAGGCCTCCAAAGGCTGGGGACCACCCTGGCCAGGGACCCTCTCTGTGCCAGGCCCCATGCCGGCTCACCATCTGACGAAGGAGGGAACCGAGGCTCGGGGTGAAGGGACCTTTGGTCACAGGGCTTGGGACTGAACCCAGGCCGCACGGCTCCCCAATGAACTCCCTTCCCACTGTGCTATGTATGTGGCATCGCCCCTGTGGAGCCCGTGGCCACCACCCTGTGTGCACGGGATGAAGCACCACACAGGGAGCCCCCGCCACGCCTGCCGGCTGTGGCGCCCTGGTCAGGCCTCCTGCACCTCCTGGGGCGGCCGCGCGCAGTGCTGGCACCCCAGATCAGAGCGCTGGTCCGGCTCCCAGCGACTCTGCCCCCGATCCAGCTCCCTGCTAACGCGCCCAAGAAAGCTGCCTGCCACCCGTGTGGGAGCCCTGGGACGAGTTCTGGGATCCAGCCTGCCCAGGCCCAGCCCTGTGGTCACTGGGAAGTGAAGTCAGCAGATAGCATCTCTCTCTCTCTGCCTTTCAAACAAATAAATAAATATTCTGGAAATAAGCAAACTGGGACTGTGGACCTACGGCTCACTGGGCCGCGCGACGATGGAGTTCCAGGTGCTGGGTAAAAGGCTCAGGGCTGCTCTGGGCTGCAGGAGCCCCTCTCCTGAGGCTCGCTGCCGCCCTCTGCTGGACGGCCTTCTAACACACGAATCAGAGGACCAGCCCGAGGTGGGACACCAGCAAACTGGCGATGCCCACCGTGGGAACAGCTCCCCGGAAAATGCGAGGCCACTGAACCCCGCACAACCCGCTCCCCACATCCCGCAGGGCTGGAAGAGCTGGCAGCCCTCGTGCCCCGGCAACCCCACCCCCGACAGCGCCATGGGGCGGACCCCCACCGCTCCCTCCGCCTCCCCGGGCCCGAAGGCGGCTGCACCTTGAGCGAGGACCAGCGGCGGGAGCGGTAGCTGCACTGCAGGCACTTGAAGAGCTGGGGGTCGCCGGACTCGTGGGAGTTGACGTGGAAGCGCAGGTCGTCGTGCGACAGGAAGCGAGAGCCGCAGATGCGGCACAGGTAGGGCCTTAGGAGCGGCTTGGGCGACTTGTAGTAGTACCTGCCGGGTGGGGGGGAGCGGCCTGGCTGGGCGGGGCCTGTCCACCCCCAGCCCTGGCCCCGGCCCACCCTGGCCCGCGCTCCTCCTCCTTACTTGCGGTACTTCTTGCCCAGGAAGCGCCTGGAGGGCCGCCCCCGGCGGCGGGGCGGGGCGTCGGGCTCGTCAGGGCAGCCGGGCGCCGCGTTCTCGGCGTCCGACTGGCTCACCCCCGGCTCCAGGAGGGCCCGGCCGCCCAGGTGTCCGGGGCCCGAGGAGCTGGGAGCCTCGGGGTCCTGTGGCGCCAGCGGGCTCTGTCCACTCTGGGAGCTCACCAGAGGCTCTGCGTCCACACCTGCCGAGGGTGCCGGGGCACAAATCCGTCAAGACCCTGCCAGCCGCAGGGCAACGCAGCGAGCCTGGGTCACAGGGCAGCCCTGCTGGACACCTCGCAGTCGGGAGACCTGCATTCGAGGCTCGGCTCTGTCCCGGGCTTGCTGTGCCAAACCCCTCCCAGCCGTCGCGTGGGGACCGGCATCGCGGCTCTGGCAACCCCCCAGGACAGCCCTAGCAGTTCTCCCGAGGGCGCATGCGTCGTGGGGAGGTGGCCTCGCTGCAGCTGATGGCATAGCTTCTGAAGCCAGAGTGATGGGAGTGTGTCACCTCTACAGCCTGCAAAGGACTTCGACAGAGCCCCCAAACCAGCAGGGCTACAGATGCCGGCGCGGGGGGGCGGGGGCTGGCTACCCAGGCGTGTTCACCTGTGCAGGGTGCGTGAGTGCATGCGCACACGTACTGTGGTATAGAAGTTATTTGGAAAAGAGGCTAACGAACAGTTCTCCCACGCTGCCCGTACCCAGCAGCCACCGGGTCCTCCTGTGTGCATGTTTAGGCTGAAAGCGGTCTTGAAGGGCAGGTGCTGCTGTCACCTCCGTTCACTCACATGGAACAGGAGGTCCCGGGGCCACGTCACGAGCTCGCAGCCACAGAGCAGGTGCACACGCCCCGACTGGCTCCTCCCCTCCCCCCGCCCGCAGGCTTCAAGCCAGGGCTCCTGGCCGCTGCCTCAGCCTCATGCGTTTTCCTCCACTGTCATTTTGGTAGTGATATTTCGGTCCTATCTCATCGGTTCAGCCACAAGGACCGAACTTCGGTTTTGCCGTGAGACTTACCGCTGGAAGCTACTTCCGGAAAGCTGAACTACAGGGCCGGCTCTGCAAGGCCCCTCCCCTCCCAGGAGGCTGCGGCCGGCCTGGGGGAGGGGCTGCTCTGCACCACGCACTCGGAGACCCCTCCCACGACCCAGTCTCACCGTCCGGCAGGTCCGACGTCTCCAGGCGGGGCACCTTCCGGGGCCTGCCGGGTCTCCTTCGGGTTCTGGGGGTGCTGGGGCTGGGGCGCTGGGGCCGCAGCTGCCGCCCTCGGGGCTCGTCCTCGGCTGGGTTGTAGTCGCTGTCCTCTGGGGACAGTGAAGGCAGGCAGAGGCTTACTCCACTTCTCCGGGAAGAGGCCCATTTCTCCACCCTTGCCTGCTCTCCAAGCCCACCCGTGACGCCCCCTCCATAAGCCCTCCTGGAAGCCCCTGCCTGACCGTGAGCACTCTCCCTATACAAGTTCATGTGGCCCTTCACGTGAGTTAGAAAAAGGCACCTTGGGGCTGGCACTGTGGCAAAGCACTCTGGGCCTCCACCTGCACTACTGGCATCCCACATGGGCACTGGTTTGAGTCCCGGCTGCCCCACTTCCGATCCAGCTCTCTGCTATGGCCTGGGAAAGCAGTGGAAGATGGCTGAAGTGCTTGGGCCCCTGCACCTGCATGGAAGACCCGGAAGAAGCTCCTGGCTCCTGGCTTCAGATTGGCCTAGCTCTGGCTCTGGCCATTGCGGCCATTTGAGGAGTAAATCAGCAGATAAAAGATCTTTCTTCTCTCTCTTTGGCTCTGCCTTTCAAATAAATAAATAAATAAATCTTTTTAAAAAAATGTCTAGAAAAGTAAAATGATTCACTCATGACTTGTTAATGACTGCATGCTGAAAGAACATTTTAGATATATTAAATAAATATACGATTAAACTCAGCTTTCCCTCAGTCTTTTTATAACCATGGCTCCTGGGCCAGCGTTATGGTGCGTGGGTTAAACCACCACCTGCGATGCCCAATCCTGAATCGGAGCTCCACTTCCCATCCAGCTCCGACTGATGCACCTGGGAGAGCAGCAGCAGGAGGCCCAAGTACTTAGGCTTCGGCACCCACGCGGGAGGCCTGGATGGAGCTCCTGGCTCCTGGCTTCAACCTAGCCCAGGCTTGACCATGGCAGCCACTTGGGGAGTGAACCAACAGATGGGAGATCTCTCTGTCTCTGCCTCACTCTGTCACTCTGCCTTTCGAATAAATAAATCTTGAAAAAAATAAAAACCAAAAACATGGTTCCCCAAACAACGGCAAGTACGCAGGTGTCTGCCCGTGTCACAGGTCTGCAGGGCGAGCGCGACCTTCCCAGCATGCCGCCTGCACAGCTGCACAGACCAGTCCTGGAGCGGAGTGAGCGCCTCTCCCGGGGCACCCACGGCTGTGTCCGCGCCTGTTTCTCCTGGCACTCCCGTGAGCCGCAGGGGCTCCATGACTATGGGCGGGGCGCCCACGGCTGTGTCCGCGCCCACTCCTCCCCCCCAGTCCTCCCGTGAGCCGCAGGGGCTCCGTGACTATGGGCGGGGCGCCCACGGCTGTGTCCGCGCCCACTCCTCTCCCCCAGTCCTCCCGTGAGCCGCAGGGGCTCCATGACTATGGGCGGGGCGCCCACGGCTGTGTCCGCGCCCACTCCTCTCCCTCAGTCCTCCCGTGAGCCGCAGGGGCTCCGTGACTATGGGCGGGGCGCCCACGGCTGTGTCCGCGCCCACTCCTCTCCCCCAGTCCTCCTGTGAACCGCAGGGGCTCCGTGACTTATGGGCGGGGCGCCCACGGCTGTGTCGCGCCCACTCCTCTCCCCCAGTCTTCTGTGAAACACAGGGGCTCCGAGATTGAGATGGGTAGGGAGCCCACGGCTGTGTCCACGCCCACTGCTCTCTCCTGGCCTTCCCGTGAGCCACAGGGGCTCCCTGACTGTGGGTGGGGAGCCCATGACTGTGCCCATGCCCGTTCCTTTCCCCCAGCCCTCCTGTGAGCCACAGGGGCTCCGTGACTGTGGGTGGGTGGGTGGGAGCCCACGGTGGCCTACCCTCTAGGTCGTCAATGGCGCCAGCGTCTACTATGTCGTCGTCCTCCTCCTCCTCCGGCCCCTCCTCCTCCTGGGTCCTGGTCACAGCGCCCCACTTCCGCACACGGCCCTTCTTGCCGGCTGCGGCTGTGGCTGCGGATGGCGAGACGAGCTTGCCAGGGCCAGTCCCCGGCTCCCCAGCCCTGTGTAGCCCCCGGCGGGCAGCCGCCGCGCACGCACCTGGCCGGAAGTGGCGCTCGCGCATGTGGCGCAGCAGCGTGGCCTTGGTGCTGCTCCGGTACTGGCACATCTTGCACTTGAACTGCTGCACCACCACCACCTCCATCATGGCCTCCAGGCTCTGCAGGTCTGGCTCCTCCGCGCCAGAGGCCGGGGGTGGCTGTGCTGGCGAGCTGGGCCCGCCCCGCACCTCCTCAGGTGGCTCGAGGCAGGTGGACGTGGACGTGGGGCCGTCGGCCAGGGCCTCGATGGCTGCCAGGCTGTGGGCCAGGGTGGAAGTCGACATCGGTGATGTCATGGGGGCTCCTGCAGAGGGGAGGTAAACGGAAGACAAGGCTGGCCACGAGCGCCACCAGCCGCCCCGCCATCAGCTGGTCTGTGATCTCCGAACAAAATTTTCCTCCAAAAGCCAATTTGCCAGTAGGGAAACTGAGGCCCAGAGCAGAGCCAACCTGCCACGGAAGTGCGTGGCAGACCCTTCTCCCCAACTCCCCCCAGGGCTGCGGGGTCTCACCATCGTCTGGGCCCTGCAGGAGCAGGTACCGGGTGGTCTCAGCTCCCCCATCTTCTGCACTGGTCACAGTGATGCAGCCTGGACAAAGGTGGAGTGGGGAGGGGAGGTGACGGGAGGGGTGGGTCACAAGGCTGGGGGAGGCACCGAACCCACGGCGCCACTCTGGGCTGTGAGTGGGCCTGGCCCAATGTGAGACCACAAGCCAGCCACGTGGCCCCTCTGAGCCCGGGGCCTCCGTGGTGTCCGTGGCCCCCGGCCACGCTTACAGGAGGTTGGTGTGGGTCCCGTGTTGTGCGCACAGCAATCCAGTGGTCACGCAGGACCCCAGGCCTGCAAAGTCCTCCTCCTTCCTCTCCAAGGCTTCCCCAGGTAGAGGCCCAACTCCCACGCCACGCTCTCGGGAATGGGCTGCGGGACCCTCCCTCGGCGTTTGAGGGGCTACGCCCAGAGGTTTGCTGTGCCCCCGTGCCTGTCATGGGCAGGCTCCGTGGGCCCCTCACAGCAAGAGCCCCGAGGGGAGAGTCCAGGAGCACCCAGCCCAGGCCAGCACGGTGCCTGCAGGACCCAGGCAGTGCTGGACAGGAAGTGTTTAGAACAGCCCCCGCCCCGTGCGCGCATGCGCGTGCACACAGATGTGTCCCCTGTCCCCTCCCTCTGCCACCCTTGTCGCCCCCACCTGACTCACCCTGGATCACGTCGGGCCCGAGCGTGGACTCGATGATCCTGTCGATGGCCGAGCCCAGATCCGAGGAGGAGGCCGTGCAGTCGGAAGCCAGCGCGCTGGGGTCTGGGAGCGCGCTGGAGTGCACCAGTGCCGGGGGGCCGCCCGCCACACCTGCCACCGGCTCCCGGGACACAGAGGAGGAGTCGGGGAGGTAGCCGTGGGGCAGAGGGTCAGCGCTGCAGCTGCTTTCCGATACCTCCTCCTGGGGGGGGGGCAGGGAACAGGGCGGGAGGAGGTTCCATGAGGCAGGACGGCTCCTGCTTGCTGGACAGGTGAGCGGACCCCCAGCCCCAGTGAGGACCAGCCGGAGAAGCCTCCAGAGACCCCAGGAGCAGCTTGCGGGGTCCCTGGCTCTGGTCAGGGGCTACCCCAGAGTGAGGGGCGGGGTGCCCCGCCCACAGGCGGGCGGAGCTATTTCCACGGGGCTCCTGCCTCCTGCAGTGTCCCCCGGTGGACTCCCCAGCCTTCTCACAGCTGCTACCTCTTCTCCGACGCTCACCCCGCCCCAAGGCCAAGGGCAGACCTCTGTCCTCCGTGGTGCAGCCGCCCGGGACCCTGCCCCACACCATGCTCGCGGCATGGTGACGCCCCCTGCTCTATGCCCAGGGCCCAGCACATGCCGGGCACGTGCAGACCCATCTCTGCTGAACTAATGAACCCCGGGACGCACGGTGAGGGCCATCGCCGGGCACCCCTACCAGCTGACGCCCGGGACACCACCACTACGTGGCAGGTGCGTGCTGTGCGCTGGGCACCTAGTCACCTGTCCAGTCCTCGCGGAGAGGCTGCCACGCCCACCTACAGGTGGGCGCCCAAGAGGACAAGGCTTGCAGAGCGCGCCCAGCAGAGGGTCCACTGGCAGCCGGCGCTCCGGACCCACGCACAGACAGACTCTTAACAGGCCGCCCGCCAGGGGAAGGCAGGGCCCGCACTCGCCTGGGACACCTGCGCACGCAGGGAGCCCACAGCCAAGACCTGACCCTGGCCCTGGCCGCACGCTGTGGTTCCTGTGAGATGCGGGGCATGTGGCTCCGTGCCATATAAGGCCTGAAGTTTGCCCGAGCACCACCCCCCCGGGGCGGTGGCACGGAGCCTGGCTCCCCCGAAAGCGGCAACGACCAACATCAGCCACCAGTCGAGCTTGCTGGCCGGCCAGGCACCGCTGCCCGCGTCCCCGCCTCCACCCACGCGGCCACGCCGCGGCGTACCAGACAGCTGCCGCGGTCCGAGCTCTGTCCCACGCCAGAGTCGTCGGCCTCCGCCGGCCCCGGGCCGGCCGCCGCGTCGCTGCTGTCCGCGGACACGGCTTCCGAGGTGCCCACTCCCAGGCCGCTCTCGGAGGGCTCCTCCGGCCCGCCGGGCCGAGGGGCCGCGTCGCTACTGCTCTCCACCTCGTTCTCCTCCATCGGCTCGGGGAGCTGCCTGACAGGAGGGCGCGGGATCTGGGGCTTTCACTCTGCGAGGAGAGGTGGCCGGAGTTGGAGCGCGCGGGCCACCTTCCCGCCGTGGGCAGCCACAGCCCACCCAGCTGCACCCCTGCGCCCATTTCGCAGAGGCAAAGACTGAGTCTCCGGCGAGGCACGGCTTCCTCGTGTACGGCGAGGGACGCTCCCAGAAGAGGACGAGGAAGCCCAGCCTCCCAGGCTAGGAGCCTCCGCCGGGCGGGGTGGTCACTGGTCGGTCACCGTGACCCTTTCCCCGCCCCTGCACGGTGGCCCGCTCGGTGAGCCCCGTCCGGGCTCAGCGGTTCAGCCCCGCGGGCCCCCCGAGTCCCCCCGGTGCAGGGTCGGTGGTACAGCCCGCAGGCCCCCCGGGTCAGTGGTTCGCTCCCCCCGCCCCTGGCTCCCCGGCAGAGGGGGCTGACAGCGACGGTCTCGGGGCCTGGCGACGCGGGGCTGTCCCCGGCGCTGCCTGCGCTCCAGGCCCGGCGCCATCTTGTGGCGGCGCCGGGTTTCCGCTCAGGCAAGTGCGAGAGCGACTAAAGGGCCTGGGACCCCGGGGCCCTGTTCGGACAGCCCCGCCGGGCCCGGGACCTGGCCGCCGGGTGCTCGCGCAGTGGGGCCCCCCTCCCGGGCAGGGTGCAGTGGGGCGGCCGCACTCGACCCGACGCTCACCTGAGGCCTCCGGCACCGCGTTCCTCTCCGGCTCCGGCATCGACGGGGTCGCCATCCTCTTTCCCCCGCCGCGGAGGGACCCATCGGCCTTCGGGAGCCGGAACTACTTCCACCGCCGGCTCCGGGCAAGGACAGATATGCGGCGTCCGGGAGGCCGCTCCGTGGCCTCGGAACTACAGCCGGGCTCGGAAGGACCCCAGAATTTCTTTGTGCTGCCCAGCACGGGCGACGCGGGCCCGCCGGGGGCCGGGGACTACCTTTTCTCCTGGCGGAGGGTTACAGAGGAAGTGTGCCGTGACGTCACGCTGGGTCCCTTCCCGGGGCCGCAGGGGTGGGCGCGGCGAGAGCGGGGAGCAGCCGTGGGCGGGCGCGGTGGTGGGCGTGGCCGTGGGCGTGGCTCCTGCCGGTGGGTGGTGGCGGGAGCTTAGGTTTGGCGGGCGGGGAGCAAATGTCACCGTCGTTTTCTCGGGCTGTGGGTCGGTTCCAGAACGCTCTCCTGGAGAGTGGTCGAATCCCGCGGGTTAGGTTTGCCGGGGCGGGCGCGGGGACGCGGGGGTCCGGGCGCGGAGGCGGGGCGGGGGGCGCGGGGAGCCCGTGCCTGGCCCGAGCCTTGCTGATTTAACGGGCAGAGACGGCTGTGCGGCGCTCGCGGGAGGAGTCGGGCGCCGCGGGTTCCGTCCCCGCATCAACTTGTTTCCCACGTTATTATCAGTCGGCAGACACTAGGGAGAAGACTCAAGCCGGAGACATGGTGTATTGAAAAGCGGGCGGCGGGCTGAGCCGCCGGCGTCCCGTGTGCGCGCAGGTTCGAGTCCGGGCTGATGCGCCTGGGAAAGCAGCAGAGGGTGACCCAGGTGCTTGGGCCCCTCACCCACGTGGGAGACCCAGAACAAGAGCCTGGCCTCGGCCTGGCCCGGTGCCAGCCCGTGTGGGGAGTGAACCGAGGGCTGGAAGATCTCTGGGTCTCTCCTTTGTAACTTTCAAATAAATGAATAATCTTTTAAAAAATGAGACAGCCGGCGCCGCTGCTGTAAGCGCTGGGTCCTCGTGACGCCCCCGGGGCGCAGTTGCCAGTGTTGTCTGCATTTTGCTGGGAGGGGGTGGAAGCTGGCCTGGTGCAGCAGCCGCAATCCTTGGTTCTCAAGCAAGGTGGCATGGCCGCTGTTTTCCCGTTTCACAGATGGGGAAACTGAGGCCTAGCAGGAGGAAGGGACTTGCTGTCTGAGAGTCCATGCCGGATCCACAGGGCGGAGTGGTCCCCCAGGGATGTCGGTTGCGGGCTTGCCAGGTGCTGTGTCCGGTGACTCACAGCTGCAGCAACCAGAGAGGGCTCAAGGCCGCTCCCATGTCACAGGCGAGGAGAATCCTGCGGTGGGGTCGGCAGAGCTGGGCCTCAGACGCCCGGTCCAGTGCTCCTTCCAGGAGGGCAGCAGGCGGGTGCTCAGGGGCCATCCCTGCCTTCTGTCTCCTTGGCATTGCCCTCTCAGGCCTTAGTCAAACCTGTTTTAAAAACCTATTTATAGGTTAAAGCTACTGCCACTTAGGATAATGAGCCCCTGGAGTTCCTTCCCCATGGTGCAAATGAAGGCTTCCTGTTGGTTATCCTAAATCTTTCAGGGCTGGAGCAGGGTGGGTTCGGAGAGAAAGACCCCAGGACCAGAACACCTGGTCTCAGAAAACAAATTGGCCAGGCAGCAGGTGACGGGGCGGCATCGTTTGAGCTGATAGTGGAGACCGGGGTAGGCTGGCCTGGGACCGGGGACAGTGGGCTGCTCCGTCCGCTCCTTTGAGGGGCGTCCCCAGCATTCAGCCCAGTTTGACCGATGCAGGTCGACGTCATGCACCTGTTGGTTGTAGGAATGAACCCGCATTTTATGGATGAAGCCCGGCTATCGGGTAGCCAGGAGAACCGGACCTGTGCCAGATGGTTCAAAAGAGGGAATTTAATGCGGGGAAGTAGGACAAAGTTGTCTGACGGAGAGAAGTGACAACCAGGGGAGGCTGAGGCAAACCTGAGGCTGACGACATTGAGAAGCCGCTGTCTCCCGTAGGGCTGGAGGCATACAGGCAGGAGAGGGAGGGCTCCAGGGACACTAGAGGCCAGGGCTGGGGCTGCAGAGTCACCAGTGCACCTGCTGGCACACCTGCCCAAGGTCACTACATGGGGAACAGAGACGCGGGCCGAGCCCTTCCTCTTCCTCTGAACCCAGCCAGAGGCCAGTTGGTAGGAGAACCCGGGACACCTGGTCCTAAGGGCCAGCCCCTGCCTGTTGGAGCAGAGCCAGAGAGTAGATTTGCCACAAAACAGAAAACTTGGCCTGAATAATCCCATTCCCAGGAACGGGCTATGCTCCTCCTCCCCTCTGAGGCCAGTGCTGTTTCTAGGCTCTTTTTTTTTTTTTTTTTTTAAGATTTATTTTATTTGTTTGAAAGATAAAGTTATAGAGAGAGGTAGAGCCAGAGAGAGGTATTCCATTTGTTGGTTCACTCCCCAAAAGACCACAATGGCCGGAGCTGAGCTGATCGAAAGCCAGGAGCCAGGAGCTTCCTCTGGGTCTCCCACGTGGGTGCAGGAGCCCAAGGACTTGGACCATCTTGTACTGCTTTCCCAGGCCACAGCAGAGAGCTGGATTGGAAGTGGAGCAGCCGGGACTTGAACCAGCACCCACAAGGGATGCCGGCGCTGCAGGCTGGGGCTTTAGCTCACTGTACCACAGTGCCGGCCCCTCTAGGTTCCAGTTTAAGCATCACCTCTTCCAGGAGGCTTTCTGGGACTCCTCCCCAGAGAACTGCTATCTGCCACCAGTGAGTTCTGCCCGCCTCTCCTAACATGCACCACAGCGTGGTGGTGCTGGGAGGCAGCCGTAGCCTCTGCTGTGCTGCGCCTCCCACGGCCAGGCTGAGTCTGATTTATATCTCTGCTGGGCAGAAGATGGTTTGTGCAGTGAGTCAGCTGTGCTAGTGTAACACAGGCAGAGAACTCAACGGCGATCAAGCTGAGCGCCCACATCGTCATGCTGGGTGACCTTGGACAGGCTGGTTCTCTGTGTGTCAGTGTCAGATGGCACAGCAGGTGCACCCACAGGGAGCCAGGAGGACTGAGGGGACCGCGTGGGTCTGTGGGTGCACTTGTGGGCTCCGGGCTCAGCCCCCAGCCTCACTTTGAGGCTCCACACTTCTCCTCCTGTGTCCTCATCTGTTTATTATTATTATTACTTTTTAAAAGATTTATTTATTTGGAAGGCAGAGTGATGGGAGTGGGAGAAAAGATTTTCCGTCTGCGGGTTCACTCCTCGAAATGGCCACAACGGCAGGACTGGGCCTGGCCGAAGCCAGGAGTCTGAAATTCCATCCGGGTCTCCCATGGGGGAGCAGGGGCTCCCAAGCACTTGGGCCATCTGCTGCTGCTCTCCCGGGCACATCAACAGGGAGCTGGATCAGAAGTGGAGTAGCCGGAACTCGAACCACCACCCATGTGGTATGCCGGTGCTTCAGGCCAGGGCTTTAACCCGCTGCAGCACACGCCGGCCCCTGGGTGCCATCTCTATGTACATTCTGTTGTGACTCATTCTCACAGCCTGCAAAGCACAGACTGTTAACCCCCTTTTCATTTATTTTTTAAAGATTTATTTATTATTTGAACGTCAGAGTTACCCAGAGAAAGGGAGAGGTCTTCCATCCACTGGTTCACTCCCCAGATGGCCGCAATGGCTGGGGCTGGGCCAGGCTGAAGCCAGGAGCTTCTTCCAGGTCTCCCTTGTGGGTGGCAGGGGTTCAAGGAGTTGGGCCATCTTCCACCGCTTTCCCAAGCTGTTAGCGGGGAGCTGAATGGGAACTGGAGCAACCGGGATTCGAACTGGCATCCACATGGGATGCCGGCGTCAGGCGGCGGGTTTACCTACTGTGCCACAGTGCCAGCCCCCATCACCCTCATTTCAGAGGTGATGAGATAGGAGTTCCAGGGGGTGAGGAAATTCAACCAAGGTCGTTCCGACATGAAGGCGCACAGCTGGATTTGAACTCTGCCCCATTCGGCTCCCTTCCTCTGCGCAGCTGCCTCCCGCAGGGCAGGGAATGCTGGAGGCTGAGCCCCACGCCATCCCGGAAGCCCCAAGAGCCAGTGCAGAGCCAGGCCCGGGCTGAGTGACAGCTGGAGACCGCGACTCTGACAGCTGTGCTGAGGCTGGCCCGCAAGCAAGCCGTGCTAAACGGGGCTGCCGGGAAGATGAGCTGCGATCCTGAGGACGGGCGGTGGCCGGGCGCCGAGGAGGTGCCGGGGCCTGAGCGGCGTGGCCTGGGGCCCCGCCCCTGAGCAGAAGCAGCTGCTACTTACTTCTCTGTGACCTTGAGCAAGTCAGCGTCCTCGCTTGTCACACCCGGTCCCTGGCCATGCTGGGTTGCCCTGGCCTTACATGAGATGACACAAGAGGACAGAACTGGGTCAACCCAGGCCGGAGCTCCAGGACTAATTAGTTATAGGATCTGAGGCCACTCAGTTTGCCTCTCTGAGCCTTAGTCTCCCCATCTGTATAATGGGGACTGTCCCTGTCTCACCAGATGACTGAGGATATAGTCATTGAAGTCTGTGCCCCAGAATACACTTGTGGGAGAGCGGAGTTCAAATCCTGCTGCACCACCTCAAGTTGCGTGGTCTCAAAGCCTGTTTTCTCCTCTGTAAAATAGGGGTGCACCTCATGGGACTGTGATACTGAGTGATCCATGGAACTGCATCTGATGCAAGCAGTCCCTCTGCGCTGGGAGCTCATTAGCCCTGGCCTAGCCCCCATGGTAACCAGTGCCTGCTGCCTGCTGGGACCACGTCACACGCTCAAAGCAGCCCTCTGAGGCAGGTGACACCACGCCCCCATTTCTCTCGGGAGGAAATGAGTTACTCAGGTCGCCACGATCCATGCACGCATCAGGATTTGAGCCGCACAGACTCCCAGCCACGCCATCCCTAAGGGCTCCGTGAATGGAAACTACTAGAATGCCTAGGCCAGAGGGATAGCGGTGACTCATGCCCAGCTGGAGTGGTCCTTCAGCGGGCCCCACGGCTGGGTGCCCACGGCAGGGCACAGGGAGTCCAGGACTGGTCTGCTCAGTTCCAATTTGCTTCCAGCAGGGGGCACCCACGCCTCTGCCAGACTCCCAGGCCTGACCCAGGAGGCTGGGCTGGAGACCACTGGAGAGGCTCATCCAGGCAGACCCTGGGCACCGCTTTGGGGGGCAGCGAGAGAGGCAGCAGTAGCCTGCGCACAGCCAGGGCGCGCCAAGAGCGGCTCATCTGTCCGTGTTCCCCACGCCAGGCTGAGGAGCTGCTCCCAGACTTTCCAAAAGAGGCGAGACCCAGTCCCGTCTCGCCCCTGCCTCCATCAGAATCTTGGGGGCTTAACAGAATCCTGGGCGGGAGGGAAGATCAGCCCACGGGGGCCGTAGGCATTCACGTGGGTAACACGCCAATGTGTCATGGGAGGACAAGCAAGTTGCCAGGTGCAGAGAGCTTAAGTTTGTGTGTGGGGGGGG